CATTAAAGAATTCTGCGTACGCCACTGTTTGTAGTTAAAAATGTATAGCATTTAGAATATTTGTACTTGCAGCCTAAGCATTGCAAATTCAATACAACGTTCTATGCCCGCTTTTTTAAATAACAAAATAACCATTGTAAAATAGTATATGACGTATTATGTATTTTACACCGAAGAAATAATAAATGATAAATTGTGAGGGAATAAACTGTTTTTCGTATACATTATTTTTATTCAGATAATTYATAGTTATTTCTTTTAGTATCTCTTATTTTAAAGTTAATTTTGAATTTTCGCAATAACTACTGTTTGCCGGACACCTTTTTTCACCCAAATTACGTGTTTTAGTATGCTTATGTGCTTGACCTTACCCGAGACTAGGTCAATTCAATASTAAAAACTGTACTAAAATTCACCGAGCACCTACTTCTCGAGACGTGTACGTAAATGAAAAATTGGGGTTCAATTTTAAAATGTATATTATATAGATTATTCAAATAATARATCGATGTGACGCAGTGCTCTTCTGGAGAGTTAGATATTTAGATTTAAGAATGCTTTCTTGGCAAAGCTAGGCATTTTCTAACTTGACTAGTTAATATGATATTTGACCATTAAATTTTGTTCGACATATTTTTAATTGCTTCACAATATGATGTAGCTAATGTTGCCAGAATAGCCAGATAAGTCACTTTTATATCAAATGTTTTAAAACTTTTACAGTCATCGAATTTTAGATTTTAAATTGTTTAAATTGTGTGTACCTAATGTATATATTTTTGTTTATTGTTGTACAAATTATTATAAAAATAATATAATTAATATAAATAAATATAATATTAATAATAATATAAATTAATATTTAAATAATATATTATAATAAAATATAATTATTATAAAAATTAAAACTAACCAAGACAGTCTGTGTCATTGTCAAATGCTCCGGCACAATTGATGTATACTAATAAAAAGTAATATACCTTTTTTATAGCGCAATAGATGTATACTATACAGCCATACAGGTAGTGTCCCAAATCCGGCACAATTGACGAACACCGAAAATTCCTGTTTTTCTGTCATTTTTATTTTGTTTTTCTCGATTTTTTTGAAAACTGTTGGAAAATTTTTAATTTTTAATTTATAATGCACCAAGGATATTCACTTTTACATCGGAAACCACCCCCAAAGTTTGAAATTGAAGCATTAATTCGACTAG